GAAATGTGGCTGATTTGGGATAAGTAGAGATTAGCCCCATTGTTGTACTCTGTGATATCTTCTTGCTGCATATTCTTTTTATAGTATTTGGAAGCTATGCTGATGCTTTTGACAAGGCATGATATACAAGAGTGTCTGCTATTCAAGCAACTTCTCTTATTTCATCTCTCTGGTCTCTTAAGCTGTTGCAGAAGACATTACGACCAAGACGAAATCGACTCGATAGTGTACTCAAACAAAACGGTGGCCAATGTTTAACTTCTCTTATCATCATGCAGGACATGGTAACACGACCGACAAGGGAACAAGGGTTATTGACAAGTTGGGCAAAGAAGAAGCCGTGAAGACGATGCATTCCCAGGAAAATCATCTCAAGGAGCTCCAAGCTTGGTAGCTTGGACTTAAAAGCTGAAATCACCGAGCTCAAGATTGCATTGGAATCAGATCGTTCTCAAGGAAAGGTGTAGATGAGAGGGGTCTTGTATTCGAATCAGTTTGGTTGTTTAAGGAATTGTAGTAGTTAGTTGTTGGTGGTATCAGTAATATATATATATATATTTGTCGGAGTGGTTGGGTGCTTGGATGCGACGTTCGGTCAGAGCAGTTTGGTCGAAGAGGCGGTCACGGGGCTGGTGCCGAGCCGGCCTCGCGCGAATCAGAGAATCGGCACTTCTTCCGCTGGGGCTCGGCGACGGGGTCTCGGGCGAATCGGAGATTTCGGCCGAGACCTCGTTTGTTTATTCCGTTGGTTCTGTTTTTACGGTCTAAGCAGTTTTTCGATCTTTGCTTGGGGTACCCCATTTTTTGGTATCCGACAAGTATATTCAGTAGCCAGCTACAAAAATAAGTTATTCTGTAGCCACCTCCATTTACGATAATTTTATATAATAATTTACGATAATGTCAATACATATTTACGATAGTTGGGTTACTATAACACATGGGGATATTTACCATAACGTTATAATAAACCATTTAGTAAGGAGTTACTATAATCTCGTAAATTAACATAGAAATTATAGTAACCCAAAGTGGCGTAGCCAGCTACAGGGTAGCAGTTATATATACACACACGTATCGCTAAAATAAAGATGGTTCACCCCGTCAAGGTTATATATGATCTTTGTACTGACTACTGACTAGGTAGGTGATGGTCCATGTGTTACAACGGGCATACAAATTGATTGTGATCACTGGAGTTTGTGTGAACAGAGATGAGATCTGAATAGATGTTCAGTCGTCACATTGACATATTCAGTGTTCATTCGATTCAGTGACGATAGTTTCTACTGGAGATTTGTTTATTTTTAGCAACCTTGGTTTTGGTACAAGCGTATAAGTATGTTGGTGTTGAGACTTGAGAAGAATAGCTTCCTTCGGCCTTTCTGCAAGTCTTTTGCTATTCAGTCAGTGTTCTCATTTGGAAGACATAAGCATAGCATAAGGCATTATTTATTTATTAACTGGAAAATGTGAGACTTTACTGCATTGAGCCTTTGTGAACTTATCTGGTTTGGCTAGTTGCCTATATTATATTAGTTGGTCCTAATGGCACACAAGAATGAGTCGATAAGAAATCTATGTGATGGCTTCATGTAACTGTGGTGCTGACGTAACATTTAGACGGACGGACACACAAGACAGCAGCATGTGCATCAAACAAGAGCCAATAAACCCAGGGGCCAAAATTATATGAAAGGAATTGACAGAAATTGGATCAGTAGATTCTATCATTGTCACATTCAAAATACTTTACCTAGTCATCAAATTTCCAATTTACAATCTCATTGATTCAGAGGGAAGGGCTCGCTGTTGGCGGCCTTATCCAGTCCAGACCAGAAGCCCATGGCCTGCTGTTGAATCGGCATCCCGTCCCGTCCCATCCCCTTCCGTGCGTGCCGGAGCCGAAGCGGAAATTTTAGCATCGAGAATCCATCTAAATCACACACAATCCAAGCCAAGCTAGCTTCATGATTCGATTCTTCCAGTGACGAATGGAGAGGCTATTGATCATAATGCGTTCTTTCACGACGGGTAGCACCGCAGCAGTAGCAGCGAGAGTCATTGTTTTAGGAGTCCGGCGGTTTCGGCAGGTGAAAATCCATCAGTCGAGTGCTTCTGCTTTGCATTGCTTGCCACATTTGGAGCCTCGGTGCTCGCTACAGCACTGCAACGGCTACCAGAGTTCAGGCCTTGTCATTTATATGTGCTTGTGCTCATCCTGTCCATTGCTACATGCAGCCTGCTCAACGACCATGTGAGGTCTAGTTGGAACTGGGAAGTTCCCTATTCCTTGGCAGCTCTCAATGAACACAGACAGTTCATCACAGTCCAGTCTTGTTCAGTGATCGTTGTTGCCTTCTCAGCTTCACTTGCCGCTGACAGTGGATCACCACTTCACCGCCTTGGCATTCAGAATCCAGTGGCGCTCCAAGTCTCCGAAGGGCCAAACTCTTGCAGGGGCTGTGGGTGACATGACCCCGGTATCCACAAGACAAGATATGTGTCGCACCATCAGAGGTGGTCCAGCCGACAAAATCAAGGCGTGCACGGCACTGATCGATGTGCACCGCAAGATATTGTATAGTACTAAATATGATATTTTCCTTATAACCCTACCCCTCCAGAGTATATAAGGAGAGGCAGGGGTCTCCTAGTTGACATTTACATACATCTCATATTCAATACAATATAACAAAGACACAGGACGTATGGTATTACGTCGATCAGACGGCCCGAACCTGTCTAAATCGTTGTCTCTACGCCTTGTTTCACCATCCGGTTCCTGATTACGCACGCCTCCACCGACAAATCTACCATCGCGGGATACCCCTCGGTGGATTGCCGAGCATCTTTTGTCGACGGGGGCCGCGGATCTTCCCCAGAGAGGCTCACCCCACGGGAGGATTTCCCACCAGTGGCTCTACCACGGGGAGGTGGCAATCACTGGAGGAGCACTCAGGCCTGGTGTTTCGGGTTACCCATTGAGTTTCGTGGGTTAAGCAATGACTCATCATAAGAGGTGGACATAGTGCCCGTCACTTTTACGATGAAAAGTGATGAGCTTAATTAGAACTCCATCACATCATATACGGAGTACTCAACAGTGACAGGCCTTATTAACTATGTCCATCACTTGTGACTTACTCAACAGTGACACTACGTACCTCCTCTCGACAGCAATGTGACATGTAAAAAAACAAAGTAATGAATCATATGCACTTAGGACCTAGAAAACCTAAATCAAGCCTCTGCTATGAAGAATTTAACTTATGGACTCTATAAACTTGTGTGGATTACTTGCAGGAAATGCTTAAGTGACAGGATTTTGCTAAGGAATTGTCCACATCAAGTTAAGAACCATTTAAAAGCAAATACTATAATCTATATGAAGCATGTCTGCATCCATCCATTATTCAGTGTCTGATAACCGGCAACACGTTACATGGGTGCCCGAAACGATGATAGGTGGGCTCCGGCGTAAGCCAAGCACAATGGTGAACACAAAGCCAACGATTTATACTGGTCCAGGCTGCTAGAATAGCGTAATACCCTATGTCCAGCTAGGCATATTGCCTTGCGTTGGATTGTTGTGTATGATATGTTATAAAGGGGTGCTCCAGTCTCTCTTTATATAGTCCAGAGGGCAGACGCATTGACGTAGTCCTAGTTGGTTACGACAGAAGAGTTCTAATCTAATTACAGAGTTAGACTTAATCCGACTAGGTCGGTCCTTGTAGCCTTGGAGAACATGCCACCTTGTTCCATGCTCTCTAGGCATACCTTGGTCCGGCCCATCTCCTTGCCGGGTAGTCGGCCCTACAGGGAACTCTTAGGATCTTGGTCCGTCACTTTGGTCGCATCATCTTCACAAACCTTGTTTTTCTAAGCTTTTTCCTTGCAACATGTCATAGCAGAGTCAAATGACCAACCTTTCTAATAGAAGAGGCATTCCTATGAATAGGGCGATATAGATTTTGCTAGCTCGTGCCCTTCTATCAAATAGTTAGTTATCGTAAAAAAACACTATTGAGAAAATGCATTTCTCTATTGCTATCTTTTAATCCCCATTTAATTTCTTATAAGTTCATGAGGCACAACACTTGTTGATGCAAGTACTTGCATTGAGATGAATAAAAGAAGTATGCAACGGTTGCTATATGTCAAAGGCCAAGCGTTTGGACCTCATCATCGATGAACATCTTTGTAATCGTCTGGGTGAGAGGTTATGACTACTAGTGACAACAAAGGATTTCTAGATAGCTACAAACACCCTCTCTATTGGTTGTGGCACATGTTTTAAGATTATAATGGACTCGCTAGAGAAGTGTCTAGCATTATCATCTTGTTAGGCATTTTCTATAAATGCTAACATTTATACAAATTTAGAGCATAAATAACTTAAAATCATGTGTAGTGAAGACTTGATCCGGGCTCTCTAGTGTATCCTAAATGCCTACGAGGAATTAAATTGACTTTTTTGTGGCCTTTTCTAGGGCACGTCAATCGGGTGTCATAAATGTTAACCTATGATATAAATTGCAGATATTATGACAACGACAAAATGACATAAACCCCAACATCTCTTGTAGTGGAAGCCGTTGTTTTTGGAGAGCCTTCATCTCGGTCCAAGTGCTACTACAGTACTTGGTAAGCAGAATTGAAGACTATGTTGTGTGTTGTACCTCGCTATGGCATGATAGATGCCATGCCGTTCTTCTCCAATTTTCATATAGGTTATGTACAACTTAGCTGTGTAGATGCTATGAGTGATCTTATTATAATTGTTAACTTGATGTAATTACCTGTGATCAATAAAGATTCTTTTTTATGAAAAGCTACGGGTATAAATAAAAAGACCTATGTCATTACGAGATTAGCAGGGCTAAATTTACTCACTGGTCAAGTGGACAAAGCGGTTTGTTCGGAGTTGATCTGTTTGAAATATGGTCAGCCCAATAGGAAAGTGGCCTGGACTTATGATTCGACGGGCCGGAACGATGGATCAAAAGTGGGCCGTTTCTCCCAGCTCCAGCCCAGCAGATCTCACAGTCATGTCTTATCGGACGGCTGCGGCCTCGATCGCTGGCCGGATCGCGGCCGCTGGAAATCTGCGTGCGCAGCAAGCACGAGGGTTTCTATTGCGGCGGGGTTTTCTTCCTGCGGCCGCAGCGTGTGACAAGCAGGCCCTCCCGCGACCGCGAGCTCGCGGCGGATCCAACGATCGATCGATCGATCCGTCATCCTCAGTTCCTCATCCTTCCGGGCATCCGGACTCCGGCGAGAGGTGGAAGGCCATGAAAGCTGCGGGGGACGCCACGCGCTGCCCTGAGGTCCCCCGGCGGTGCCACCACTGCGCCGGGCCACTCTCCAAGGACATGGTGAACCCACGCCCCCAGATCGCCTCCTCCCTCTTGTCGATGACGCTGTTGCTACCCGCCGGGTCGCGCTGCCTCTGTGGCAACCCATCTGTTTGTTTCGTCTAACCTGCTGTTGGCGCTTCTAGTGGTTGTTGATTCTCCGCCTGCTAATTCGGGCGGTTAACCGTGCTGGCGATTTTTGGGTTGTCTACTTACCTTGAATATGGCCCGGTTCAGTTCCAGTTCTGCGAGTAGTTGTTGCTGATGCGCCTATGTACGTGAGCGTAGTTAGTTTGCACAAATTGAAATTGGCAGCTCGGCAGGGGATTTGTTATGGAGTTAGAGGAAGAAATTATATATGCTAGTATTATGTTTTTTGTTACGCTTGACCTGCTTTTGCTGCATCTAGTGGTTGATTCTCTACATCCGAATATCCAGCCTGAGGACAGTGCTAGTGGTGACCTGTTCTCTTTTTGAAAAAAAAAGGTTGACTTACTTTGATTTTGGCAGTGCGAGTTTTTCATGCTCAGATAGTCAGATGTGCCCATGTTTGTGAATGAGAGTAGTCATTTTGTGTAAATTGACATTCTCAGCTCAGCATAGAGATTTGTTCCGAACTGCTGGAAGAAGTATTGAATTTCCGACAGTATTTAACACAGCTCAACTGATCCTTGATTTTGTTATTGCTTGAAGGAAACGAGCAGCTGGACGGTGCCTCCGTTGGTTCGAGATAGCTTCTCCATGGTATGTTCCCTCTCCAGCTTGACTGATGTTCTGTAAGATATTAGGACTTCGATGTGGCAGTTTAGTGTTAAGTACATGTATGCTTCCATCTTGTGGCAGATTGGTTTGGCTCTTGGGGGTATAGCAGGAGCGTTTTATGGTTTCAACCATGGTATGTTCTCTTCTGTAATCTGTAACAAATTGAGTTGTTTGAGCACTAGTCGATGTGCTTGCATGCCAGATGATTAGATTGTCTTATACCATTTATTTTGCTCCGCCTTGTGACTAATGAATGGATTGTAATAAATTAGTTTGGGATCCACATGCAGCTCATTTCGTCTATGTGATTATGATTTGCGAGTGGTGTTACTATTAGTTGGCTTAGTAACACACTAACACTTGCCATTCATACTTGTACTGAGTCTCATTAGCATACAATTTACCGGAAACTTTTAGGCATGATTATATTCTTCTTTGTGCTTAAAAAACTTTCTTTATGTTGTGCTCGGTTTGGGATTATCTTTGCATGTGTAAACAGTGCTCCCTCTGTTCCAAACTGTAGGTCGTTCTCTAGATACATAGTAAAAGTTATGTATCTAGAAAAGTCGAAATGGCGTATAATTTGGAACGGATTTGCAAATAGCAGAATGTTTATTCCTCGTACGTACCTGAGCATGTCAAAAATCATCTTCCTCATTGGTTCACATTATATTTGCTCGCTTTATTTACATTGAGTTGATTTTTTTGCTTTGTATATTTTTTGATAAATGGACATAAGATGAAATCGGTTAACATTTTTTTGTTTTACATAAGTTTTGGCCTGTAATGCTGCTGTGCAATGATAATTGTTTTTCCATAAGATCTGATTTCTGAGTTTCAAATGCAGTTATGCCTGTTGTTCGTCGCCACATTAAGGGCCCAATGTGGATGCATTTTTTTGTTGGTGTAAGTTACTATATACTTTTATAATCTAATAATCTATACACTAGTTTCTTGTGGACCTGTTCAGCATAAACCATTTTGACATTTCTTGTTAACTTCATGGCCATCATTGAGACAATCTTCAGTTGTAACATTCATTCTATAGCAGATATCGACCTAATTCGTTCTAATGTTCTAAGCACATCATTCATGACTTCTCTGCACATTGCTGAATATCTAATCAGACCGTGTTCTATTTAACAATTCCAACAATTCAGATAATGTTTATGAATGTGTGCCATATTGAGATTTCTTAGTGTGTATCCGTAGCTGCACCAAGTTAAGAAGGCAGAAAATTATGAGCACTGTCTTTTTTTTTGTCAAGAACATTAAAAATTTGATCACATGATGATCTGGTGCAAGCAAGTATTAGTCTGATCCTCCTATTTATTTTTGTCCTTATGCAGGCACCACCAGTTATTGTGTTCTCTTCTGCATGTGCTGGATTAGCAGGTTAGTCACTAGTCTTCTAAAAAAAGGGCGTACCCAGTGCAGAGAGCTCTCGCTCTGTGCGGGGTCTGGGGAAGGATGTCAGTGGCAAGCCTTACCCTCGCCTGTGCAATGCGAGAAGACCGCGACTCGAACCCGGGACCTTCCGGTCACAAGCGGTAAGACTCTACCGCTTGCACCAGGCCCGCCCTTCAGTCATTAGTCTTCTACATGTACTTTTTTTTTGTCTGTATAGTTATTTTGTGTGCTTATTTCGCTGTCCAAAAATTTAGCTTTTTTACTATCATGGCAATGTTGGATACAATTATTTTCGATTTATAGAGATTTTATGTTCTGGATAAGTTCCATTTGTGGGGGCTCCATTTGATGGTGATATTGTTCACTACTGGTAAATTACTCATGTAAGTTTTAATATACCATAAGAAATTTCATTCGTATTTGCTTTCGGCAATGCTCCAGTCGCCATCCTTGACAAGTTACCTTGTGGCAAATTGATTTTACCTTTTCTATTTCCATCCATGATGTCCCCTGCCAAAGGTTAGATGAACTTAGATATAAACCATTCAAAAGTAGAACAGGAGCAGAAGGGAACCTCAGCAGTTTTATTTTTCCTTTCCAAAGGGTTGTCTTGATTGGCCTGCACTGGGCTTTGATCTCTAGATTATGCGGTGTAGGATTTTTCTCGAGGCAGATGAGCTTTTTAATATTATCGAGCATTAGTGTTAAACTATACATAATTCATTCTTTTACTGGATATTTTGGGCATGGACTTGGTTCAATTATATGTACATGCATGGTTCACCTTGGCTCTCCTACAAGTTCAATCATATTTACATGCATGATGCTAAATTGCTAATGCTTAGTTGCTCTACAAAGTGTGGGGGATTGTGAGTTTGCAATTTGCTAATGCTTAATCCATAATAAGCAGCAGTGACAGCTGCTTAGGATTTAGAAGCTTTAGCATGTTCATGAGACCAGACAGTAACAGAAGTTTTTGCACATCCTCGATCGTAAATTGTCCCCCTCTTTTGCTGCTGAATTATATGAATCGCCAGCACATAACTGGCATGTAGTTGTGTTGTTCATTATTGATGTGGGGCCGTTGGCAAGCATGTCACAATCAGAAACTGCATACTATTTGATGTTTCTCATGTTTAGCATACAGCATTTATTTTGTTTATAGGTAGTCAGAATGGAGTAAAAATGCATGGTAGGCAAGTATTGATGTCATCTCATGTTTCTTCTGTTTAATACGACTATTCCATGAATTCATTTTCAACACATTCACTGCAGGGCATGACACTCCTATTATCACTAAAATTATTTTTATTGATCTGTAGGTGGTACAATACCAGCCACTGCACAACTGGTTACGTCATCCTATCATGCTGTGTCATCGCACTCCTTTGCCCGCTCTTCTTCGCATGTAGCAGCGCATTCGCCCTCTTTTGCCCCCTCTGCATCTCATGACGACATGCACAAGGCAAAAAGCTCCTCACCGTTGTAAGTTATTGGTGCAACAGTTTCACGACATAACTCGCCTGCCTTGAGAAACTATCCTCTTAACTATGGAAAGACTCATCCCATCCTACTCTATGAAACATGAATTTTTCTTATCACTCCTTGCCCTGTTTAATGAGGGCTGCTTTTGTACATGGTAATTTTTTTTCTCTCGTGAACAGATGCTATATGTGCCCTGTTTATAAATTTTGGATATATCTTTATGTATAGCTAGCACTGGGCTATATTTTGTGGTCCAATAAAAAGTTGGTGCCGTGACCAGTGTACACTGAGCTGAGGTTCTTTTGAGATATTCCAGCGCTGGAAGATATTGTTTTTGCTCAAATGGTATTGAGACTGCATTCAGTATTTATTTACAAGTAAAATGCCAGCTAGTCTTCATTGGTTGATAATTGTGATCTCATCGCTTTCGTTGGATATCCAGTGCTTAGATGCCAAAGGGTTGTTTTGTTTCAAACAAACAATTTTAGTGTTTTTTATCTTTTGAGACATGCTTTTGATGTGAAGGCATCAGCTTTCTACAGTTTAGCGAAATTCGAATTGTTTTCAAATCAAATCGGTGCAGGATTGAAGTTGGCTGACAACAATATCCTTTTCTAACTGGCTCTCGGTGCATCAGTAACCTCATGTAATGTTATGTTGCATTAGAGCAAATCTGTGAGGAGCCCTCAAATCAGGTCTACCCTCTCTCTCTCCCTTTCCTCGATGTCCTGTGGTCAGGTGTGGTGTGGGTGTGGCACTGAACCTCAATGGTGACAGGTGATCGGGCTTGTGGGCCGAGGTTGGGGCAGGTGGAAGTACGGTGTGGACACTGGCTAGAGTGGCGACAGGTGGTCGGGTTTGTGGGCCGAGGTTAGGGCGGCTAGAAGTGCGGTGTGGACACTGGCTGGAATAGCTTGAGTTTGGCGCTGAACCTCATGGGCGATGGGTGATTGGGCTTGTGGGCCGAGGTTGGGGCGGCCACAGGTCGGTGTGGACACTGGCTGGATTAGCTTGAGCTTGGTATCGGGCCCAAGCTAGGGCGGTTGGAGTTTGGGTGGTGCTTAGATAAGACCGGAGGAAGTGATAAGCATTGCTTGGGAGTTGGGACCGGTCCAAGCTCAAGCTCGTGGAAGATCGAAGGTGGAGTTTGGCTAGGCTTGGAGGAGATAGGCGGAGCTAGGGTTTTGGATATGAGCCTAGGGATTGGTTGACATGACTTCTCCTCAGGTGCTCCTCCCGAGGAGCCGAAGCACTTGAGGAGGAGCCACAAATTACATCTCCTCCTTTAGACCCAAAAAGAGCTCTGACTTCTCTCCTAAGAGGTACGGTGTGGGCACTGGTTGGGGTAGCTTGAGCTTGGTATCGGGCCCACGTTAGGGCGGTTGGAGTTCGGGTGACGCTTAGATAGATCGGAGGAAGGGACAAGCATTGCTTGGGAGTTGGGACCGGCCCAAGCTCAAGCTCGGGGAAGACCGAAGGTGGAGTTTGGCTAGGCTTGGAGGAGATAGGCGGAGCTAGGGTTTTGGATACGAGCCTAGGGATTGGTTGACATGACTTCTCCTCAGGTGCTCTTTCTAAGGAGCCGGAGCACTTGAGAAGGAGCCACAAATTGCATCCCCTCCTCTAGAACGAAAAAGAGTTCTGACTTGTCTTCTATTCAGCACGAAATTTGTATGGTTCCTTCGTAGAAGCTGCTGCCAGGCATATGCCCTAAATTTGACGAGAAAAGAGGGGGCGCGGGAAGGTCGAAAAGCCATTTCTGGCCGGTGAGGAAGGTAGATCTGGTGGTGGTTGGAATAGGAGCCAACAATGGCAGGGCGGCGTACGGAGGTCGGGCTGCAATTTGTATGGGTGTGAATGGGAAAAAGATAAAAACAAAAAGCTAGGGAGCGTTGGAGTGAGCTTCCGGAACCACGGTTTTGAGGGTTATATTTGAGAGCCTAAGTGGAGGCTCTAAGGTAGCTTGGTTTTTGTATTTTGATTATCAAAATTGAATAGGGCCCCAGTTCCGTGGAACAAAGAGTATCGTCATCACAATTTGCTTTGGACGCCATAGGTCTTGTCGGTCGTGTGGAGGCTCCTTAGATCATAGATCAATGATGAAATGCACGCAAGTAGGACAAGTAGGAAGCGGTGGCCGACGTGCCTCTTCTTCATCCTTGAGTGATGGAGTAGAAAACTAGGTTCGTGCATGCTTGGAATACCGTGTAGGTTTCCTCCTCGCTCGCCCGATCGCCCGGCCGGCTGGCTGAGCCAGTGGGCCGAGGCACGCCGCACGCAGCAGCGGACCGGCGGCCGGCGTCCCCGTCTCACAACGCCTGCCGCGCGACCAGAGCCACACGCTTTTAAAAAAGGAATTTCCCGCGGCACGGCACGGACGCTTGCACTCGCTGATCGCTCCGTACTCCTCCCCTCGCGCGCTCGTCATCGGCCATCCCCGTCGTCCAGTCTGTACTCGCTTGGCTGCACCCGCGCTCCTGCTCCTACAAATCACGCCCCCATCTCCGTCTCCCTCCCCCCGTCTCATCACGCACAGTGCCTCGCTCGCTCTCACTGCGAGACAGACAAACGAGATAGAGAGAGAGCCGCAACCGCACCCCATGGACAGGTACAGGATCGCGCCGGCGCGGCGGGTCTGCCTCTCCGCCGCCGGCGCCGCCGGGGTCCACCTCCGCCCGGCGGCGCCGCCGTCGGGGCGCCGGTCCAGCGGCGCCGAGATCGGCATCTTCACGGCCGAGCGCTACTTCAGCGCGGCCGACGTCGGCAGGCGCGACGCCGCCATGATCCCCGCCGCGCCCGCGCCCGCACTCCATGATCATGAACACGAGCTGCCGCCGCGGCTGCCCGTCCCAGCGGTGGCGGACGTGGCCAGCCAGAGCGGCCGCACCGTCGCCTCGTCGGAGGCCAGCTGGAACAGCCGGTCAGGCCTGCTGTCAGCCGGGCACCTCGCCGCGGCCAGGCAGCAGCAGCAGACGGGGAGCATTGGCGCCGGCGCCGGCGCCGGCGCCACGGCGGTATATGGCAGCGATCAGGGTTACCGCGGCAGCAGGAGGACTGGTGGTGGTTCTGGCCAGCGCTGGACGCTGTTCGGCCGCGACTGCCCCTGCGCCGGCAGGAAGGCTGTCACCGTCGACGTCGTGTCCGAGCCGAGGAGCCCGGCGGCGACGGCGCACTTCCACGCCAAGTTCAGCCCGCAGTGTGCCGTAGAGGAGTGCCTGGAGAGCGCCATCTTCAAGGTGAAACACCCGTCTCCTCCGAGAACCGCAACGACCGAGGAGGAGCCCACCAAGGTGAAGGTCACGGTAACGCCGGGGAGCCGCGCGTTCCCGCTCGCCGCCGACGTGCCGTTCACCGCTTTAAGCAATCCCGACATCGATCGCCGCGTCCTGAGCTCCGGCGGGTTCACGTTCCCAGCGCTCGGCGCGGCCAGGGTCGTGAGCGGCGGCGGCGGCGGCATCTTGGACGAGCCGCCGCGCGTGTCGCTGGAGGTGTTCCGCCCCATTGACGAGGACTCGGTGATGCTCGCAGACCCGCGCGCCCCGCCGGCGGTTGCGGCATTGGTGGTGGACGAGGAGGTGATGAGCAACGCGAGCTCGGACCTGTTCGACCTGGAGAGCTTCGTGGAGTCCTCCTCGTACCCGACCACGTACCAGGGGCGGGGAAGCCGGCGCAACTCGGGCGACGACGACCTGCCCTACGTCTCCGCGGCGGCCGCCGAGCCGGCGCTCAGCGAGTGCATGTACCCGGCCAGCGAGGCGAGCGTGGTGTGGAGCGTGGCCACGGCCGAGGGTGGCGCGTTCGACGCGGCCAGCGTGGCCAACTTCTCCAGCGCCGCGTCCGCGTGCTGCGTCGACGACCTCCGCTACGTCGTCCCGGAGTCCCCCGAGGCCGGGTTCACCGCCGCCATGTCCCGCAGCGCCCGCCGGAAGAAGAGCGGCGGGTTCCTCAGCAGCTGCCGGTGCGAGAAGGCGGTCAGCGTGGGGCCCACGCCGGTGCGGGTGGTCCGGCCGCCGGCTCACCCGGGCGCGGCCGCCAAGAGGTCCGGTGGCGGCGCGCCACGGTACCACCACCACGGCCGCGCTCACGTGCCGGTCCGGACGTGACACGCCATCAAGTAGCCGGCGGCGACGTGAAGTGAACTATGTACATGCGCGCACGAGGTTTCCATTTTTTGCCGGTGGATTTGTGATCATGACATTGTCGCGATGTACAGTACAAATGTGGATGCTTAAGTTGTTTACTTTTTTAGAAAAGGTAAGTTGTTTACTTGGATTGTGGTAAGCGAAATTGCTGTGTTAATATAACAGCATTGTCCACCCACTCATGCTCTTTGATTTCTTCAAAGTGTTACACAAAATGGGGCACCTCTATAGTCTATACTCATTTCCTCCTGCTCGTTACAACTCATGTCTTCAACTTCCACTATGCTATATGATCACTTCGCCATTAAAATAACTAATAAGGGGGCAACCACTTAATAATATATGAACTACTGTGTGGAATCTAATGGTTTGTTTGGGAATTTACCTGGGCACATATTTAAGAGGGGAAGTTTTGATCTATTGGTTATAAAAGATATACCTATTCCTATATGCTTAGATTGTATATAAGCTTGCATTTGGTTTGGAGACATAGCGGGACGGGCATCCCTGATTTTAGGGATACGATGATCAGGATTTCTATTTAGTTGGAGGGATGCGATGGTCCTTTTTTTTTGCATAGTTAGAGGGATGAAGTGGATAGAATGGTTCAGTCTCGTGTTTATTTAGAGGGACAAAAACTTAACAACTAGATATAGTTACCTCCTCATGAAAGTTGACGAGGTTATCTCATTTTAATATTTTCTTACAAACTTAGTATCGGTTAGAAGAACAATCCATGATGATTATGATTTACTACTTACTAGTTACTAGTTATTAGTGTTATTGCTTCCACTAGGTCGGCCTCAGTTATGTTTCAGTTTCTAATACTTATAAAACTCTCATTAGACTGTCTCCAACAATCGTTACCCAAAATACAAGATGCATTTCATGTTTGATAGCGCTACAGGCAAATGGTTCAATATCCATTTTTTTGTCTTCTTCAACGACAAAACCCAAAAGAGACCCCTTTCTGTAAATGGGTCTCCAGGAGAGAGAATACTCAGATTTGGGTTATACATCTCCTGACACCAAAAATGGGTCTTCCATATAGGTACTCTATTGGAGGCTATAGGTATTACGTTGGAGACCCATTTTGGGTTTGAGTCTCCTAATGAGTATCCTGTTGGAGATAGCCTTAGAGAGTATTGAAAACAGTATAGACAAGTTTCACTTCATAAAACTTTGAATATCTCTCTCTCTTCATTAATATTGTGTCATATCAATGTATCAATATAAATTGGTAGCTTATTTAATGTCTATGAAACTATCTGTCGGTGCAGAAAGTGACCAACACGTAAATATTTATAGTTTTGCTGTACGTTGTGATCGGATGTGGCATAGCACTCAATGACACAGGGTTTATACTGGTTCAGGCAACGTGCCCTACGTCCAGTTTGAGTCGGTCGGTGACTTTATTCCTGAGCCCAGGTGCTCGAAGTTTGCTGTGGGGTTACAAACAAAAGGGAGTAAGATGGGGGTGCAAGAGGTCCGGTCGGACTCTGGTCTGAAGGGCCGAGAGTGACGGGAGCTCAGCTATGTGCTAAGTGTTTGAACGTCTATTGTTCGTTGGAATCCTTGGTCGTTCGGATCATTGGAGCGTGTTTCAGTTGTCGTCCGATTGATCTCCCTTGTTTGGGAGAGAGCGCATCCCCTTTTATAGATGAAGGGGACGGCCTTAATAAGTGAGAGAGAGAGAGAGTGAGAGTTCGTATGCTACTAAGTCTTGTTGCCCACGCCATCGGGTACAAGATGATGGTAGGCGCCCATAACACTGTTTGTGTTAGACGCATGTGGGAGGTTTTACCGTATTCACCATGTATGGCAAATGATGGCGCCCACAACACTATAGGGCAAATCATTGGCGCCCACAACACTGCTTGGGTTCTGACATGCTTGGGAGGTTGCAGGGCACCCTTCTGACATGTCCTGTCGGTACTGCCCTGTAGGTGTATAGGGTATGGTCCTTGGTTTTGCGGTTTGACTTGAGCGTCCTGCTTTACTTGCTCTGCCCGTTTCCTGGTCCTCACCGAGCGGGCGTCCCCGGTCAGTTGGTCCCAATCGGCTCCGACTATACCAGTCGGAGAAGAGCTGTACGCAGAGGTTCGGTGTATCCTCGGTCGGAGACGCGAGTAGGAGTCGGAAGCGTTGTTGGCCAGGCCTTCTGGTCAGAGTGGTGGGCCGGAGTCAGAAGCGATGCCTTCCAGTCGGAGAGGCGGGCCAGAGTCGGAAGCGGGCGTCGTTCCTCCTTGGCCAGGCCTTCCGATCAGAGATTGGATCGCCCTTCTGGCCTGTCGTTAGGTTTTTGGGCCGGCCTAGGAGTTGCGCGTCATTCATAACGTCGTCTGCTGGGCCGAGCTTTTTGCTGGGAAGCAGGTCTATGAGGGACCCCGGGTTTATGAACCCGACAGGAGCCCCCAGGCGATTTGGATAGAATCGTCTGGGGGATTTTGTCTTGACAGCGGGTGCGCGCGAGCGCACCCGCGGGTGTAGCCCCCGAGCCCCCAGGCTATTCGGGCAGAATCATCTGGGGGGTTTTGTCAGCGGGGGAGTGTTTTGTTTCGTCAGCGGGTGCGTGTGAGCGCACCTGCGGGTGTAGCCCCCGAGCCCTCGGGCGATTCAGGCAGAATCGCCTAGGGGGTTTTGTCAGCGGGCATGAGTGTGTGCACCTTGGTGGGCGTAGCCTCCTCTTTCCAGTTTCTGACCCAGGCGTCGGACATGCCGAGGCATTTTTGGACGTGTCGAGGGATCGAGCGGGTCAGAGTCACGGATCCAGGCGCTGGGCGCAACGAGGGATCGGGTGAGTCGGAGTCGTGGATCTAGGCGTTGGACGTGCCGAGGCATTTTGGACGTGTCGAGGGATCGAGCGGGTCGGAGTCATGGATCCAGGCGCTGGGCGCCACAACGGATCGGGCGAGTCGGAGTCGTGGATCCAGGCGTCGAACGTGCCGAGGCATTTTTGGTCACGTTGAGGGATCGAGTGGGTCGGAGTCGTGGATCCAGGTGCTGGGCACAACTAGGGATCGGGCGAGTCAGAGTCACGGATCCAGACGTCGGGCGCACCGAGGGATCAGGCGAGTCAAAGTCACGGATCCAGGCACAGCCGAGGTCATCAGTTTGAGTTTTCATGCATTACCCCATCCACGATTTTCGCAACCAGAGGGGCTAAGCTAACGTTGCTTGCCTCGATGGCTCGAGTGACGCGCTCGGTGAGCTCGCTAACGGGCACGTTTGAGTGAAATCTGGGTCTATCGTTCGTGACGGGGTTGGCATAGCCCTCATGTGGCATTCCACTGCTCCTTAACCCGCGTCCTGGTAGATGTCTGGGTCATTCCAGAGACCGACCTAGGTGGCCCACTGCCCTCCCCTCGATGGAGATTCTATGGGCATGGCTCGAGGTTAGGATCAAACGAGAAGGTTGAGATGACCCCGTCTGCTTTGGAGCAGACTGGGCGAGGGCCGCTCGGGGCTCATCTGTGTTTTCTCCCCTGGCTCTGTTTGATGCGAGGTGGCCTCGAACCCTTTGTGGCCCGGCCTTTGAACCCCGGTCGGTCGTTGCTCATGTTGAATGAGGCAACAACCGCTTCATGACGCAACAAGGAGCGTTGTGATGCATTTAACTGCATATGCGATGCTTCGGATGTATGGGATGAATGAATGTGAATGCGTGCATGAATGTATGAATGACAACAGATGAATGAATGATCATATAAAGAAATAGTGGGGGTTTGGTAAAGTTACCTTAATGACTCGAGTTACGGGGTTTTGAGGAGCTCCTATCGAATATGTCCGACCGAGATCCACGCTCGTTGTTCATGATGGAGTCGGCATGGCCAACATGGGGCGTCCCTGTGCTCCTTACCTGTCTCTCGGCGTTTGCCTGAGCCGTCCGATTGACTCGAAGCCTATTGGTCTCTCTGGGCGGAGATCCCGTAGTTGGGCCTTTCCAAGTCCCGCCTAGGAAGGCGAAGGGCCGCCTACGCATAGTGGCGCCTTGTTTCTCACGCCCGGCGTGCGGTAGTGGTGGGCCATGCCCAAGCCACGTCCCGTCTGACCAGGCGCCATCTCATCGGGCAGGGTGCGTCCCCTCGGTCAGGGCGCGTCCTCAACTGTTGTGCCTCCTCTTTAAATAGGGGAAGGGACAGGCTTTTGTCCTGTTCCTTTGCCTATTCCTTATCTGCCACCTCTTCTCCATCTTCCTTCTCGCCAAGAGCGTTTGAGTGCCGCCGTGGTTCCTAGGAGAGAAAAGGGGAGAGCAAGGCAGAGGAGAAAACTCACATATCCATTCATGAATCCGTAGCGCAATGTCGAGCTAGAGGTCATTCGTGGTGAGGGAGTCGGTGCTGGCCGCCTTCACCGAGAAGGGGGTGCTGCCGCCGATGGAGGTGGCGCAATGGAGGGCTCCTGCGGGGGAGGATTTCCTGTGACCTTGGGACGGTGAGGTTGTCTCCTTCCTCACCTTCCATGAGTGCGAGTTAGGATACCCCGCGCACTGGTTCCTACGCGGGCTCCTCAATGAGTGGGGCCTAGAGCTACAGCACCTCAATCCGACTCGGGTGCTGCATATCGCTGGCTTCGTCACCATGTGTGTGGCCTTCCTCGGGATGGAGCCGCACGTGGATTTCTTCCGGTGGATGTTATCTGGGTGAGCATTATCGGAGGGGAAGCCGCTCAAGATCGCGCCGGTGGGGGGCTTCGCGCTGTAGAAGAAACCGAGCGCGTTGGGCTCGTACCCCACGTACACCCCCTGCGATTCCAATCAGGGGTGGCATGGGGAATGGTTCTACATCAGGAACCCGGTGGAGGCGCCGTTCCTTCCTCTTACCAACAGGAGGCCAGAGAGGCAGGAGAGCTGGTCATGGGGCCCCGCCAGCCGGTAGAACAAGAAGCTAGAGATTATCGGGGCGAAGCTTTAGAAGCTGGTGCGGTAGGGACTCGATGGGGTGTGGGTGTTCCACACCTTC